CAGAGCTGCAGGTGCTCCAACACCTTATAGGAGGTACCCTTCCCTCCCCCATCTCTCTTCCTATATTTCCATACCATCGGTTTCATTATGCTTTCCCAGGTCTCATCAACTTGCTGATTCTCATTTTTTTATTTTAACTTCCTAGAAGGTTCCTCTTGTCTCCCCTCCATCGTTCTTCTAGTATTTCCTTACAGTGTATGTAATGACTCTCATCCTGACCTCATTCACTTGATGGGATAATCTTAATGGCAACTTTGGTGGTACGGATCTACACATCGCAACAGATCACAGCTCAGGGTTATGGAGAATATAGGGCCATGTAGGATCATATAGGACCACCTATTCTTATTTATTTATTACAGGTATTTATATAGCGCCGACAATTTGTACGCAGCGCTTTACATAGTTGCACATTCGCATCAATCCCTGCCGTCAAGGAGCTTACAATCTAAGGTCCCTATCTCACATGCATACATATGAGGGCTGATTTAGACAGGAGCCAATAAACCTTCCATGTCTTTGGAGTGTCTATGGCAGCCTTTCTCAAGCAGGGTGTCGGGGCACCCTAGTGTGCCTTGTGGCTTCCTTAGGGGCACCTTGAAATTTTGGGATGGTAGGACTCTGATGTAAAGGGAGGGCTGTGGACTCTGATTTAAAAGGGGGCTCCTTGTGTGAAGGGGAAATTCAAATGTAAAAGGGGGGCCTCTGATGTAAAAGGGGGACTGCTGATATGAAAGGGCTTGTGGTTTTAAGGGAGGCTAGTGATGTAAAGAGGGACTCTGATGTAAAAAGGGATTCCGATGTGAACAGGGGCTTGTGGTGTGAAGGGGGGCTATTGATGTTAAGAAGGACTCTGATATAAAAGGTGGGCTTCTGGTTTTAGGGGGCCTAGTGATGTTAAGAAGGACTCTGATGTAAAAGGGGGATTCTGATGTAAACGGGGGCTTCTGTGAATGGGGGGATATTGATGCAAAAGAGATTCTGATGTGAAACCAGGGGACTCTGATGTAAAGGGGGGATTTTGATGTGAAAGGAGGGGGGCTCTGATTTGAAGAAGAGAACCCCCCCCCCCCTTTTTTTTTTTTTTTTTTTGCCTG